CCGATCGGTCCGAACTAAGATGCAGGGACGTTTCAAAAACTTTGATTTCATTTATTTGCTTACATTTGATTACCGTCATATTTAAATAGTTTTCAATTGTACTAATTTATTTTTAATAAATTTTCCGAATATAGGGAGCCGTTAATATTTGATTAGTTATCAAGTGTAATAATTTATTTTGAGTAAATCTTCCGAATACCGGGAGCCATTATTATTTAACTAGCTTCAATTGTAATAATTTACTTTTAATTATTTTTTTTTGTATATAGGGATCCGTAATTACTTTCTTGTAATCTCGTTCAATTGTATTTTATTACCTATTCCTGTGTTTCTCTTATTGCTGGTTCTTGACCGTTCTCTTTCAGGGTACCGTATGGTACGAGGTGTAAAAGTGTTTTATTTTTTATTTATTCTAGTATAGTGACTACCTAGCAATGACCGCCTGGAATTATTTTTACCTTCACTGAGTTTACCTTGAGTACACTCTGGTGTACCACAGGGTCGCAGAGCAAACTGTGATACCAAAACTGGCGCCTGAGCAACCCCTATTCGGGAATCACCATCATAGCGCCACACAGACTCGCTGATTCACTGTAGGTGAACCAGAAGCCTGTCACAGCATAGCTATCTTTCTTTCTACGTGTCGGCTGATGCATCACATTATTAATATGCTCAGATTTTTTCATTTTTTATTATAAAACTTCTCGTTAGGTGCCAATGGACAATGTGTCATATTGTTATCTGTTTTTACTAAAAAAGTGTTATGTGGTACATAATAGTACCTAATAAATTAGGAAGAAATATAACATTCTTTGGGTTTTTATAATATCTACATTCATCCTGTTGCAGATGAATGCCTGAATATATTTGGGTAATTATTGGTTTAAAATTTTAATTACGGATTTGTTGTTGCAAGAAACAAAGACAAAAATTCACATTCACAGTTTAAGGTTTGGGAAAGTCCAAAAGTTGCATATCATTTAAAGAATAATATGCTAATTTGTAAACATTATTTTTAGAAATAAATTTAATGCTCAAAGGATAGATGTGGTATTTGATCATTATAAAAAAATTCTATCAAAAATACAACACGTTAAAAGAGAGGATCCAAGAAATCAATTGATACAGAAATTGACAGATCCAATATTACACTTCCGGAATAATGGAACTTGTTAATTCATTCGATATTTAACAAATTTTCTGTCAGAGCAACTTTTTGAAATTTTATTCAATTAAAGCATATTCAATTTGTAACTAGTGGTGGATTCGCGAATATCAATAAATATCACGAAGAAGCTGATACTCGTATCTTATTGCACATATTATTAGCCAAAAATTCGGGGTATTCACGCTGCATTATTTATTGTAACGATACAGACGTTCTAGTCTTATTAATTTATTTTAAGTAGTTTTTGACAAAAAAGATATGGTTCAGATTAGGACGAGGAGACTCATTACGATTTATAGCAGTACATGATTTAAATTTCGATAAAAACCTCTTCTAAAAAATTTGCCTGATTTTCATTCTGTGACCGGTTGCCACACAACCAGCCAATTATCAAGCATTGGCAAAAGAACCTGTTAGAAAACCTACCTTAAACACCATCACCTTTTGGATGATTTGGCACTGATCCGAAGGTACTCTGAAAGCACATTTTCTAATCTTGAAAAATTTTTCATAAAACTCTATTCAAAAACTGCCAATGTTACTTCCATTAACATTTTGAAGGGATAAATGGCCTCTTCAAAATAATTCCTAAATTGCCATCGACTGAAGACGTCCTAAGATTACATTGCTTTAGATGTTTTAATTAGCTACATATTTGGCTAAGCTTTTTAAAGCCGCAGATGCAGCTTCCTAATGTTGAAGAGTATGCCTCCAGACATAACAGAACTTATCATGCAAATGCAAAAAAAGGTACTATACACCGATAATTTTCATAGATGTACAATATTTTAACAATAATATCCTGTTCTAGACTGAGGAAGCAAAATTTGCAAGTGCAGGAAATAGTATATTACATTACGAGTGTAGAAAGTGACAATTTTCACACGAGTGGGAAATATTGTCGCACGAGGCACAAGCCGAGTGCGACTATCACACGAGTGTGGAAAATCACTTTTCACACAAGTGATGTACAATATTTTTCCTACGACCACAAAATAATGTCATCAAAAAATGTAAAACCAGGTATTATTACTATAATAATTAAAATGTATTTAAAAAATTAATCAACAATAATCGTATTTATTCAATTTTCATATTTTCTAAACAAAAAATTAAAAAACAAAAAAAATTCTGGCTCCGCCAGGATTTAAACGCGGTCGCTCGCCAGGTCTCAAATGGTAAAGTTGATAAGTTCGACGTTCTAACCATCTGAGCTAATAGCCCTTACGTCAACTGAATGATCTAATCGGTTATGTATTTAATCAGAATAAAGAGCAAACATATTTTAGTTATTTTAAAATTATTTTAATAATAATTGTTAAAGATAAATATCTAGGATCTAGGTAATTTACAACAATTTCAATAATTTAACAATCATATCGATTTTAGTATTAATATGGACATTACATAGATCAAAATAGAAATTATGTTTGACATTTTGTGACAGCTACTGCGGAAAGTAGCATATTCGTACACGGGTGGAAAGTAAATTCTTATTCATACGCATGTGATATAGGGCACTTTCCATAGGACTATATAAGGGGCGTTTGATTTGAAACTCGATCGAGCGAGCGTCGAGGAGACCGAGAAGTGATGACGTCACAATAGAGCATTGAATCAAATCAAATAAAACAGAGTAAAAAACATAACCTCGCTTTTTTGTGATTCTTGTTTCTGGTTTGTATGTTAAAATAGTGAGCAGAAAGTAAAGAAAATGGAAAAACTTTTAATAATAAGGGGTAATGGCCCTGAAATGCAGCATTTACCACAAATGCCCGCTTCGCTCTCCTACTCCATGACTGTGATTACTGGTGATTAGATCTGGACAGAAAAAATGTATTTTCCAAACACACATTTTGTGTTTTTTTATGATGAATAATTTTAGCTATAAGACAAAAGCGGCTAAGTAATTTGTTGAGTTCTTGTCTGGTCTTTAATTTTGAGATTCAAATTTGTTTGTAAGTTAATTAAAAAGAGATAGGTAGAGACAAAGACAAATTTCTCCCTCTTCTCGATCTTTCTGCTCTGAGAACATCGAGTTCGCTCTATGTTCTCGCTCCAAAGCGAATCAAACACTTTAGGGATCTCTCGGAGTGTCAATTCAAACACTTTTGAAGCGCTCGGAGATCTCCGCTGATCAAATCAAACGCACCATTAGTGTGATATGTGTCACTTTCCTAAGTGGTCGTAAGAAAAAATATTGACTGCATCGATTCCTGCACCTGTATGGCACAGAAAAACTTCAGAAATAATTTGTCCACAGCCGCTGTTTTAGAAAATGTTGATTCGTGTAGTAAATCTGATTCTGATCAGCAAGTCTTGTACTTATATATTTTAATATTATTAATTTATGCTTTATATACTTCTAATTATTTTTTTTATTAGCAAAGCAATAGCCTTACTGTTTATAATCTATACTTATATACACTGTGTTTATACCTTCAATAGTTTATATTTTCCTTAAAAAAAGTAATACTCCCTATAAACCATTATTAGCCTTCATAGCGGATAAATCAATAATCCCTGTATAAAATAATGTAAGAGAATCAAACAGATTGCATACATTTCAGCACTGAGAGAGACGAATGGAGAGTCGAGAGTCCTGCTTTCCAGCAAAATCATGACATCGCTAAATGTTTACTGCTATATTTTTGTTAATTTAAAAGCAAAAAATATGGGGAAAGTACTCTTACCTTGTCAATACATTGGCGAAACTTATGATGAATATTTTTTTCGTTTAGGCCTTCGTTTTTCGTCAACTGAAAGGTATATTTATAAAAGATTTTTAAACCAAATTTGTGGACAGTCAAAATAAGTTTTAATCTATTATATACACCGTACCTACTATATTGTAAAATACATATTATTTTGTGCTATTATGGATTATTATTCGGTTCCTTTGTTTCAACCTCGCGCGTTAGAGTTTATAGAATAATATGTACCCTCGTATCTACATGCAATTGTTAAAATTATGAATGAATGCTGATTTTGTTTAGTCTCAAAAGTAATTTTAGAGTATTTAGGCTCCTCCCTTAAGTTGTAATTTTTATACTTACTAAACTGTCGCTGCCCCGCAGGTCTTTCAATTTGTAATGTAAATTTTCCTCTTAAAGCAATCTACGTCACGTTTTCCACGGGCGTACTACGATAAGTTATATTTTTTAATATCGTGTATATTTCTTTTCAGTTTTTAAGAATTCTTAAAAACTGAATACTTTGTAATTTAATATATTTTTAACAAAAGACTTCGATTAACGAAGTTCTCGACGAAGTTTATTTATAATACAGATTTCCACCGTCTTCAATTTTTCTTTTGGCTTTTTAGTTTGGTATTCAGTAATTTATTATTAATTTCCTACTAAAGTTTGTTATACAGTACATTACTAGACCCATCCAGAGATTAATCGGTTTGACCACGCCCTTACGATGGCAATGATAGAATAGTGCATATCTATTATTCTATTTCTCTCTAATCAATACTATTGTATTTAATGTAATGTGTAGTATATAATACTTATTTTAGGTATTGTTTGTTTCAGAAAAACATGTTCGATGTACCCAACTTCTCTAACAAAAGTCACTTATATACGCTGACGACGTATTACTTGCAGATGAACACCAGTACCAACCTCAAGAGTAATCAGAATACAATCAATCTGTGTAGCCAAAGATGTATTTGATCAGGCCAAAAGAAGATACCAAAAATAAAAGGTGTGCGTCAATGCGAAAAAATGCTTGGAATGGAGTGTAGTTCAAAAGGGAAAGGTTATTTTTAAGGATAGGTAATAAAAACACAATTGTATGAAAAATGGCACATAGTATATTATGTACGTATTATTGTATATTACATAGAGTTGATAATAATTTTTATTTTTATGTCATAGTCTAGCTGTTTAAACCTAACTTAAATCCTCATCACTCAATATTCCTTTTTGTCATATATACTTTTTTATATACTTAGAAACACATTCGCTTTAAACGTTTATACAGGCTTAAATTTAAGCTTTACAATTTGTCCTAATCACTTAGTACCACATACTGATCTTAGAAGTTTCGTATTGTTAAATAACTACAAAAATATATAATATAAAATGCTCGCAACACTTTTACAGAATTCGTAGGTAACAATTGCGTGACTTCTAAGAAAAGTCGCAAAAATTATATTTGCACCATTAATGGTTTTTAAAAGTATGGCTGCCAACCTCATCCACAAAAAAAATAGAATTTAGTGCCGAAAAAACTTTCAGTGCTTTTCTCGCTGCCGGTTTGTCAGAATCATGGCTGCCATATTGGAATGAAACAAACACTGGAGGATTACGAAAAATATACTATGCAGAACATTATTGCAAGTAAAAAGACTTATAAAATCGATAAATTTTCAGGGTTTAACAAAATAATACCTACTTAATTACCTTAACCTGGTATATTTTCCAACTGAACGACATACTTTTCCAGAAACTAGCCAAGATTTTTTACATACTATAGATTTCCTTACATCTAATTCCTAATTTTGATATAAACTTTTTAAATTTTAAAAAATTGCTCAATTAATTAATAATTTCCAAAGTAGTTTTCCGATTGCAAAATATATTAACGCAGGCTTAACCGGAAATAACTCTATATATTTTTTATCTCAATGGATATCCTCAAAAACCTGATACATATTTCATTTTGGACAAATTTATATCAGTGGATTATGGTTATTAAACACCAATTGAATATAAGATATGTATATTACGAATGAATTTCGACATTTGAAAAAGAAAAGTTAATATCAAAATTAATAGATTCGTGAAGACAGCATCTTCTTTCCCTAAGACTCGGCAGTTTCTATTTATATATAATATATTACAAAATTTAAAAACAATTACTGAGAAATATGATAGATAATATCGGTTGTTATTGTCTTTTTACCAAAATACATTAGAATGTTATGCATTGATTTATGAATTTCAATTCATAATTTAAAAATAGACATTTTCAACTTGTCAATAAATATTTTTACTATTTTAAAACAAAAGCAAATTTGTAGAGCTGCCAAATATTCTAATGTACTTTGTTTATTAGTGAGGAAAACCAAATAGAGGAAAAATACCATTTTAAGTTTCACAAAATTTTGTCGCCAAATTAGAAGAAAATACCGGGAATTGTACAAAAAAAAAACTCAGGTAAAGTAATTAAAACAATCTTAACAAAGAAAACAAATAATATAAATATAATTACCTACCACACTAAAATAAACAGTTGAAAATATTACATGTTTATTTAAAAAAAATCTACCTAGAAAGTTACACTTAAGTAAAATATATAAACTTAAAATTAATAAAAAAAATGAACAAATGTTTACCAATACAAATGAATTGATGCATGAAACCACGCATAAACAGAATGGTTCAAGAGAACAGTCATACTATTTATACAAGCCAATAGAGGACAATGATACAAGTCAGAAGTAAAATAAACAAAAACTATTTTTATTTACAGGATTGTTTTATAAAGGCATGGCACTATTTCGCTCACTGGCGACAACAGTGGCACAACTCAAAAATAAAAATTATGGAGAAAATCAGTATTAAAAGTTTTAGGTATTAATGAGCTTGGCTGTGTGTCAGTGAGTTTTTGTATACTAAATTTTTGTAGCGTGTTAAGTTAATATAAGTATAACTCAAAAACAAAGCGTTGCCACCTCCTCATTTGTGCCAGTATTGCCCACAGAAGACGACTGGAATATACCAAAGCCAGAGCATTTATCTATGACCAGAAGCATATTAAAAATATGCCGTTGTTGATGCAGCATGTGGGCGGAATACATGTAATGTTGTCTTAGTGACACATTTGTCATCTCGGGGAAACTATCTCAACTAATTTTACGTCAGTCTTGTTGGATGAAACTTTAACCAATTTAAAGTAGAAGCAAGAATTTTTGGATTTTTTTTTTTTGAGACGTGCCACTATTGTCACTGATGAGCGATTTAAATTAAAATTGCTACGAGTTTTTGATATATTGTAGCTTACGTGAAAAGATGAATTTTTTATCATTGTACCTAAGTTCTAGCTCTACAAAGTGCACCTAAAAATAAGTTTCTAAAGTGGTTTTTGTAACAACGAGATTAGAAGGGAAGCACTTTAAGACTCTAATCGCGCTGGTCACAAAACAAATGTTAAAAAAGTTTACATTTTATTCAAATTCTTACATCCAAATGACTTTTCTATAGGGTGTCCTCAAAAGAACTGAGACATGCGGTTTTCCTGATAACGAGTTAATACAGATAAGAATGAGAAACCAAACATTATTTTTATTGTGTGGCTCCCTATTAAATCGCTTTCAAGTCCCTATTTATATTATTGTGTTCCAATTATTTTATATGCAAAATTGCGGCGATGACTTAGTCACAGCAATGCAGAACAATAAGTAAAATGTCTGTTTTGCAAGTTTTGAGAGCACTCCCTAGAAATTAGATATGGATGCAAGGTTTTTTCAACATTTCCTTAGTATACTAGTGGGATTACACTATAAAATTAATTAAACTGCTTTTCTTCTAGTCTCATTGTTACGAGCATGAAAAATGAAAAGGCCACGTTTGGACCATGATTTTACGTTCGCCATATAGACCTGGAACTTTAGTGTAATGGTAAAAAAGTCTTTTGACATAAGCTCAAAAAATCAAAAATTTTTAATTTTCTACCTGTAGGTGCCAATTATGACGGTAATTTTATGTATAAACAAAAACTCATTAGAACTGAAATATGGCTTAAAAACAATAAATATCCGTAAATTGATATACTGCACATGAGAGTAATTTGGAATTGTATCGTTGTCGTTTACATCACCTTTAAGTATGACCTTTTCTTGGATTACATAAATAGCGAATAAGATTGTACTTGAAAAATATTTTAAATATTGTAAATAAAAAATTTGTCATATTTTTTTTCATTTTTTTATATATATATAAAAATTTTCTGATGATCCGCGTTAAAACCCAAATTTTTCTTGTTTCTACAACTCCAGGCTCCTTGGTTAACAATAATTGGATCTGTGGTGGTATTACTTTAGAACTGTTATGTATTTACGATACTTGTTCGAAAATAACAAAATATTTAGCAGATAATTGAAAAAGTGACGCGAATCTTTAGACTGAAAGGTTCTACTAAAAAAATCCGATTTTAGAATGAAACAACGTAACTGTCTAGCAGAAGGTTGGGTGGGTTCTGGTTTTTCCTATTTCTACCTGACAGAATCTAAAATAAGACTCTTTCTTATGATTTGGTGGAGCCGATCGTTCTGCAAATGGCGAGGGCGTCAAGACCAAATGGAATATGAGCGTGACACGTGGCATCTCCTGTTTATATTGCCATTATCGTAAAAGTGGCGCTCCGTTTAATTAAGCCTTGGTTTTAGTTCAAACTGGACCTTGTGTCTATACTTCGATAGAAATATGTCCATGTGTCCAAGGAGAGCAACGCATCAATGTAAAATTCCTTGTTAAACTCTGAAAATACGCCACAGAAACGAATGTTCTTCATCAGAACAAAGCTGCAGCCTACACTGCACTGTGCCAAGAGGTTTTTAGCCAAATATTTAGCTCTATGTATTAGAATATCCACCCTAATCAACGAATCTCGCCTAAAGGGTCTTTTTTTTATTAAGGAACAAGATTTGAGATAGTAAAGCTGTCAAAGACAAAGAGGAGACCAAAATCGCTTTCAAAAAATGATAAACAACAGTGCTATAGTCAATGAAAATTCGCATGGAGCTGTGTAGGGAAGTAAAATGTTAAAATTATGAAAGAAGAGCAATAATAGTTGGAATGTTGTGTTCATTTGTACTCACTGATCAACGGGCATTTAGCCTGGAAAGGTGTTTTTATTGAGTACATGTCAAATTACTACCAGATACCGATTTGTAACTAAAATCACTTATCTTCGTAAAAAAAAAACTAAGAATAATTTGGTTTTCAACAAAGCGACTCAATAGGAATTTCCCTTTACACAAAAATTTTACTGAAAAAATAATTGCTTTCAGTCTAGTAAAAGCACACTTTGAAGATGTATTTAACGATTTTAAGAAAGTAATGAAATCAAAAATTAAAGTATAAATACACAATTACTTTTAATACCCTATGATAAGACCTAAATTATTGACATACATATAGTTGCTTGATTCATCACTTAAAATTTTATAGTAAAAAAAAACTAAAATGATAAGAAATAAATTACATTTATAAATATTTTTCAAGCCCAAACCAAAACATAAGTAAATAGTAAAAAGTAAATAATTTAAATATTTTCAAAAGAAAATTAATATATAAATAAGTTACAATTAATAACCAAAAAGGAATTTCACTTTCATTGGCAATTATTAGGAAAGACCTATGGCTTTTTTTAAAAATCAGTATATTGCATTAAAAAAAGAAATTTTCAAAAAATATATACACATAATAAGTAACTTCTCGTAAATCCGAAATAGAATACTGGCGCAAAAACTTAGAGCACTATATGTGGTTTGAGAATTCTTAAAGAATTAGTTTAAATAATAGTCCATAGCTTCAAGGAAGTCCAAAAAATACTGTTTCGTTTATATTTTAAGTAGGCATAATAAAAAGGAGATTAGACGCAAATAGCTCTTTTATTATGACTTACATGAAAAGTTGGATTTTTGACAGTCACTGAGGAGCTTCATCGTACACAATACCATTTTCGCACACCAGTCATAAGTCCAGCTCGGCGGACACCGGTATCACATGCCATGGCGGACACATACAACAGACAATTGAGCAGACACAAAATTACCAGCGGACACGCATTGACTTGTCGAGTTGTGTCCGCCCTAGCGCCCAGAATAATGCGCCACAGCGGTCACAATAACGGACTCTTTTCAAAAATCTATACAAACTACTCTTAAAAAACCTGAATATTTAACATATTTTACAGCACCAGAGCGACCAATTATTAATAAAAATTGCACAAAAATGAGTGCCCGTTCGCCAATACTAATTAATATAAATATTGCCGACACCAGTGTCCTCCCTGGCAGCGAATGTGTTATAAAACCGGAATTTTAAATTATCATTGTAAACAGTATGATTTTTCCATCGATAATTTGACAACAAACTTTATTACTAATTTGTTTACAAAGTACCCAACACGTGTACTGTCAAATAAAAATCATGAAAATCTACTTGATGGTTGTAGAAAAATATAGTACACAACTCATGTTAATAAAATTATTTATTCATAGAATTACTAATACATACTTTATAATTCTTGTCTCAAAATATACTATTGAAATAAAAATGATCTCTCTAATAATTATACTATTAGTCTAATTCACAAACAATATTTAAATAATTGTGCACCCGTAAATCCTTAAAGACAGCAACGTCAAAAAGTAGAGTTGGACAATATTTTCATTTTTCAAACATACCGCGATTAGTAAAATTCAAATAAATGAGGTTATGCTTCATCAAATAATTAATAAATTAAATATTCGTTAATATAAATAGGTAATTACCAGTTCCTGAACTATCGACCAATTAATCTATTAGGCATTCATTATAGTTTACAAAGCTGTAGCTTGCCGATTCGTTTGTGAATTAGGATTTATGTATTTTAGATGGATGGAATCTCAAATCGTAGAATTATTAAATTTAGTTTTATCGGAATTAAAGTTCTTTGAGGTCTATTCTGTAAAAAAATCCTTTAAAATGTACAGACCTTTAAAAAATTAACTTTTAACCGCCAGTCGATTTTTTTATCAAATAAAGTACTCCTCAACCACAAATTTTGCCGGAGAGGTCAGTCGCGAGATTAGTGTGCATCAGAGATAACAGAAGATATAACTATTCATATAATATTCGTGACGCCGACATCGATACCTGTGTCGATACGTTCCAGTTGTAGATCAGGGGTGAAGAGACATGTGGTGTGAGGTATTGGAAGGAATACACTGAAGGATTAGACGGCGGTACAAGACAATTTTATCAATGAATATATGTGTAAGCCGTTGTACGCCGATAATAAACAACATACAAAATACTTGATATCCAACTTAACATTAACTAGGTTACGGAAATTGTTAAAAATTATTACGTTATTTTTTATTATTATTATTATTATTATTATTATCTAAATTAGTAAAATTACATCTAATTTAGTAAAATATTTTAGGTTCAGTTGCAATAAAATAGGTTGAATTATTTTAGCTTTTTAAAAGATATGAAAATAATTTTGTAAACAAAATGAGAATATCCTCCTGTGTCCCTTACAATATGTCTTATTCACGACAGCACGATATTTGGTTGAGTGTGCACCCATATTCTCGCAGCATTTAAGCAGTGAAGTCTACCATCTACCATCCACGACGTGGAATGAATAATGGTGAATGAGTGAGTGAATGGGAAAGTAGTTGGATCTTCAAATGGTGGCACAATAAACCGCAGGCTGCAGTGCCGCCACGCTACAAACGGATTAGGGTGATAGAACGAGGGGTCTTAAAGGCAAAAGAACTAAAGGGAATAGTTCATTAAAGGCTAAGAAGAAGGTCAGATAACATAACCAAACATACTAATAATAATTAGGTCTCATGCTTCAAGGAGCACTAAAAACCTGAAAGAGTTGTTTATAAATCTATTGGAACAGGAAAAACTGCTTCACTGTGGACTAAAATAAGTCCAGTGGAAATACTATTAAAAAAAAACTAGTCATAGTTGGGTTGACTAAATGTAAAATTATTTCCCTATCCTATTCCAAAAAATGTAAAGTTGCAGATATTTTTTATACATTTTGATGTTGCTGTATTTCTGTGAGTTGGTCGCATGTATGGTCCTATAAACTATAATTCTGGCTAGAATTTTATTAAAACAAAACATATTTTTAAAAGATACATGAGGGGGTCTAGAACCAAAGACGGAATTCTCCATGTTTAAGAATTTTGGATAATTGTGAAAAACTTCCTGGGAAGGTTGAGGGTTGTTTTATTCATTTTTTTTTTTTTTAATTTAACAGTGGTAAAGAATCATGCCGACTTGCATAAATTTTAAAAATTATCAGTTATTTTAATAAATAAAGAAAAAGAATGGGTATTGCTACTCACTTTCGAAGATTTCCATGTTTGATTCTAATTATGCGCGAGATTAACTAATTAACTATTACAAAATACTAAAGGGTTGTTTAGATTATTATTATTTAATAGGTAAACAGATAATATCAATCAGTGTTCATTAAGCTAAATTAAAACAATTGGTCAATATTAATAATAATCTCCCTAATTCACCCCCTTAGGAGTGAATTTCAACCACTAAAGTCCATTGAGTGATTTGTGTAAGGGAAGGGACGGCTATTATTATTATTATTTTTATTTTTTTTTAATTTGGTGTCATCGGCATCAACTACTAAGGCCATTAGCCTCGTGTTCTGTGTAGGCTTTGTTAATGTTTCCCAGCGCCACTTTAGGAACAGCACTGTTAATTAGAACCCAACAGTGAATTGTCGAGTGGGGAATCCTACCAAGGCATCAGAATTAATTTTAAATAATTAAATTAAAAAAAATCCCGGCCAACGGTGGGATTCGAACCTGGGACCCTTGGATCCACAGGCAGAGACTCTACCACTGAGCCACCCACTCCATATATTATTATTATTTTCCGTGGCGCTCCGAGGCGACTTAAAGATGATTGATGGTGCCATTTGACTTATAGGTGAGGAAAACACCTCCAATGATGATCGAAACGGTAATACATGGCGATTTTTATAATCTTTATGCCATGTCAACTGAAATTAAATTTCTACTAATACGGCATCCATCAAATCCTTCTGTAGGTTTCTTTAACAAATTCGCAGTCTATGTGATAAGCATGAAAATTATCACTCCATACGGCAACCTGATTGGCAGTTTGGGATTTAGCCGGGTTTGGTACCAACGGACATGTGGAGATTGCCGGGTTTGAAACTAACACTGAATTTCAACATTAAATTTCAATGATATTTTAAAGGATTAGGTTTGCGTTTTTTAGTTTAATCGCTTATGCGTGTTTAAAACTACATATCTAGGTGTTTAACTTTTTTTTTTCCCAAAAAATGGAGATTTACGCCTTTGGTTCTAGACCCCTTACGTTTGAGAATTAAAACGGGCCGCTTAATGTAATCTAAATTCAGCCCTGAAATATTAACTATAATAGCTTTATATTAAACCTTTCTTCATTTTACAATCATTATTCAACCAAAACTTCTCCAATTATAACATATATCATTTTACCATATTTTACTCTCTTTTAAAAGTTACAGGTGCATTTTAATTCTCCCTTAAAAGTTTTAAAGGACTATTAAATATTTAATAAATATTAAATATTGACAGAAGTGAGTTAGTGAATAGAAAAATATTTTTAAAGAAATCGTTCCATAATAGACACCTCGCAGTTCTCCCACTTCACACAAAAGATTTGACAGTTTTGCGGCGAAGCTAATTGAAATGAACGCTTAGAAAATTATTTTATGGATTCTAATTTCAATTTCGTGTATTTACGTAAATAGTTTAATAAGTTGCTAAAATTTTGTCTAGCGTCCAAAATATACAAGTCCTTCCCACTGGCACATCAGAGATTCGGCAAAATTTATGTTTGAGGTGTAGCTTACTCAACATCATCGGCATTAAATATGAATAAAAAGATTATAAACAATTGTAAGATGGAGTTTAGAGAAGAAACAATTGACTTTTAATTGTTTTATAAAACGTTATTTATAACTTGATTTTCCAAATTTGTTTAATTTAAATATTATTTATATTATTGTAAAATTATAAAACTTATGTTTTACATTTTTAACCTTAATAAAAAAAATGTAAAATAACTCTTTTATCTAAAATGACCAAATACCTACCATGGAATTTGGTAAGTTCAAATCACCATTATTTCTGTTCTACATTATAATTCAATAATTATAATCAATTGACGCAAATTACACAATATTTAAGTAAACTTGATACTTTGTTTTTCCACAGAAAATTTTAGTTCACCCTTTTTATTAACACAAAAAATACCTAATGATGTTTAAATATACGAAACTAGTTGTGAACTAAGTAATTTCATATCAACAAAACTAAATTTAATTATTCGACTTCCGATATTGTATCTTTATCTTTGCTAACAAGAATATTATAAAGGACAAATTAATTGCGTTCTTATCAATGTATTTTTGAGATTACATGGTGTATTAAATTTTTTTAGAATAATTTATTCTATTGTCTGTCCGTGTCATAATAGAATACAAGCTCATCAGTAAGTAACAATAAAAAACAACTATTCATATAAATCAAAAAAATGTTCTTTGATTTTTTAATTAAGTTTGTTTCCAATTTAAATAATTTTAACCTTAAAACACATACTTAAATTTTTTGTGATGCTTTATTTTATAAACTTTTTTGAACTTCATTTCTCACTTTAAAAATGGCACAATTCTTTACTCACTTTGTTCGTTAAGTAGATATAATTATGATAAAAATGATAATTTGATTAACTGCAATGAACTTCGTTAAATATTACTTTGAGCATAATGTATAATTGTGCAAAACGTTCAACAACTAAATATAAATAAAAAAAAAACTAGTATTCTAATTCGCAATCATTAAGTACTTTTACCCTAAAATCTACGTCTTTAAAAATAGCACCTCTCCTAAACTGGTTTTAATTTATAAATATGAGTTCACCGAAAACTCTTCTTTTTTGTTCATTCTACAGATTTGAATATTGACCGCTTCTTAAATGAAAACTTTAAAGATATTGATCTCATATTTTAGCACAATATGTCTATGTTAAAATATAATTTTTTATCTAAAAGTCAAAATTCAAAGTTAAAAACGTTTAATAAAAATCTACACCCGAAAGTTATTTTTTTAAAAAATCCAATCAAGCAGTGCAAAAAACCTAATTACATTACATAAAAAAGTCTTTAAAAATTGTTTTCAACTTGAATGCAGGAGAAAATATTCTGGCATTTCACTGCACTCAACGGTTATTTTATAAAAAAAATTAAAATAAAAGATGGCAAAAAGAGATCAAAGATTAATATGAAAAATAAGACTAAGAGATACTTTTAAGATTACACGGAGTATTATATATTGGCACAATGATCTCAAACCACATATAAATATTAATTATTAAAGAAGTAGCTGAAAATACACGTAGATTGAAGCTAAAAGCCATTTCCTGGTTTTTATATATAAATATTTGTTCGCATTATATTCACTATAATAGTGAAATATTTAATTTTGTTTACAAGCCGTGGTTTTAAAATACTTTCTAATGTAGAAAAAAAATGTCAAGTTGTTCCATTGCACAGCAGCAATTTTTTACTAAATCACACCTCTATATCTAATCTTAAATGACATTTTTCTATTACTCATCACCCAATTAGAACGTAAAAATTCGAAAAACTTCAAAAACAAAGAATTTTAATTCACTGGAAAAAAAAAACAAATGTACATCAGTTTAATGATTCTTGACGGCAATTTCTAAAATTAATAATTAACAGATTTATTTTGAAAAATTTGCTTAAAAATGGAATCTGTTACAACTTAGATATTAAGAGGTGGTTGCAGTTTTTCTGACTCACCAAGTATCAAAAATAACTTGCAAATCATAATAAAACTCTAGTGCTTTCAAGCACTCCCATAATTCGATTAATATTTTCAAGAACCAATGAAGAAATCTCAAAAATGTCTACCAGATATAGGAGCAACCGTTACCCCACATAAAATCCTCCCCATCTAATGTCTATTGCTTGCTGTTGAGTACTAATAAGAACGAAATGGTCCAGGAATGACGTTCTACTTAATAAAAAAAAATCAAAGACTCTCGCTTTGATTTTTTGACACTCTATGTTAAACATTATTATTCCTCTCATGCCTCCTTATAAATATAATTCAATGCCTGTCGAGGTATTAGCCAGGAGTATTTTGTTTTCTGGTCGCTCATATATATTTTGTAACATTGTCTTTGAGATTTCTTTGTCGTTTATATTTTGGGTCATATTTGAGTTTGAAATATTTTCTTTTGAATATTTAAAAGTCCATAAGGATGCATGGTACATAGCCAGAAACAATACAAAGACAGTTAAGTCCATATTTATACATTCGACTGAGTGCGTCCTTGCAGGAAAATCAGGTATATCTCGACAATTTAGAGAGATAGTAACAAATCCGTAAATGTTTATAAATTTGTTACTGTCCATCTTCAAATTCCAGTGTAATCATTAAATCACCTGGAACTCTAGAGCAGTTATATCCGAACTTCGACTGTTGTTCAAGGACGCACTTAGTCAAGTAATACTCAGCCAAATGCAGTTTATAAATATGGACCTTACTTGGGTGTAAAAGATCTAACTTTTTACAAGGACCATAATTGAATTAAAGGGTTTTCCAATAAGTATGTCTATTATATCAGCAACAAAATGCAAATGGTTTATAGCTTTAAGCGATAAGATGGATAATGCTTCCCTGGTGCTGAATATGAAAAAAAAAAAAACTTTAATTTGGCTAAAATCGCCTCTTTATAGTATCCAAAGGTTTGAGTAACCATTCAATATGTTCTTGAGCAACTTAAAATATTTGCCTCAAATCTAGTAGTTGATTCAACATCTTTTCATAGAGAAATTGGAAAACATTTTACATGCAGTACTAAAGAGCACCGAAGCTGAGATTTGCCGTGTGACTACATGAAGGACTATTAGTCTAAACTCTGGGGTCACTGGCAAAAGCCTTCCAGGCTTAAGTAACAGAAATAAATGCCAAAGAATATTTATTGTGACAGACAGCCAGGCAAGAACTGAAAGGGTTTGAAGTACAATTCAAATTAATATTGAAATGTCAACAGTTTCTCCAGGCCTAGGAAGAACATAATAAAGTCACTCTGTAATGGGTGCCAGGACAGAAGACTATTGTTGGGAAACAGGAACATAGACTTCCTAGCCAGAAAAGAAGATGAGAAAACTCTAACTGGATCAAAACCCACAAGTGGCAGTTCATATCAACATGTTAAAGAGGTGCTAATGGAACAGGAAAATAAACAACTCCTTATGGTTGGAAGTTCTTGGGCTCCATTTTTCTAAAATGTCGAAATTTCATGTAGAAAAAGAAATAATGTTAAAAACTGTCAATGTATCTCTGAAAATACAGGGTATCCCTCCCGAAAACTTTTAGATGTTGTAGGGGATATAAAAATAAACGTTTTTTGCTTAATAAAGATATGTCCGAAACTGCTTCAATTTAAAGATACAGGGTGTTATAGTTTTAAAAATATATATTTTTTATCAGGAAGTTAAAAACGTTTTAACCGATGAAATTTTCAGTTTGTTATTTAAAAATCTGACAAACTTACTGAACACCCCAATGGTTGACTTAGGGCCAATCTTTTCACCTCTGTGTAAAGTTGAAATTTACTTACTGATTAAACTATAGGGATATCGTTCGTTAATCTGTAAAGTAAACCTACATGTAACTGTGAAAAGATCGGCTCTTATAATGTTGCTAAAATGGAAATTATCTGCCATCATGATTATTTAAGTTTGATTTAAAATGATGTATCATTTTTGATACTTGATGACGTCGATATTCTTTATGAAAGTCATTCAATATTCAAGCGGCGTCGCCAAAAGTGGTGATAATTGATAATGTCGATATTGTATATATAATTTAATATTCAATAGCCAAAAGTGGTTATTTGTGATGTATCAGTTGGTAACAGCACTGACGAGTAAAATAAAAACGATCAGTCGTAAAATGTATTATCTAAGAAATCTGACAAAATTTATAATTTAATATTCTGAAACCGATTTTTGTTTCAAATATAGGACAAATTGAAATTTAAAAAGATAATGGATGATGAGTAACAGAATTAGTTTTTCAGTCTGAGCAAAATATTCAGAACAATAAATTATTTTCGTAATTTCAATAAATTCGTCTATGTCATCTAATCTTGAACATTTTTATCACTCAGAATTTATCAAAAATATAATTTATGAAAAAGCTATACACTACCAGATCTCGTTCTGGATTATTATTTGAACATCTATAATGTTCGAGAGCTCAGTAACAAAATTATAAATTACATGACACAGACATTCGAACTCGATTATAGTTTTGACAAGAAATGTCTTGCCTTAGAACAATCATTAATTTATTCACTTAGATTAGAAATAGCCTCTAGTTCAAAATATCTTAGCACTGAACATTTACAATTTTTCATCATTACCAGCTACCTCAATGACACTTAAAATAAATAAAGCTGTCTCAACTCAGTGGTTCCGCAAATAATATTAAGTGAAAGAAATGTAACTATTAAAAACAAATCGAAAAGTATGAATACAATGTATTGTATCACTACTTAATATTCTTAAAAAAATAGATAATTGTTTATATGAAGATGAATATGATGATGCCGTTTTGTACGAGTGTGTATGTACAGGTAGCAGAAAATACTATCAATGCTATTGTGGCTGACCTGGATTGTGAGGCATATTCGTAGGTGCCCCCTGAAAACAAAAAAAAAACATTATTAATTCATAATTTATCAATTGATAAAATTACATCTAACACAGAGAACAGAATAGAAGGGAATAGAAGAGAATGAGAGGAGAATATAAGATAATAGAAGAAAATAGACGAGAATAGTAGAGAATAGAACAGAATAGGAGAGAGTAGAAGAGAATAGAAGAGAATATAAGAGAATAGAAGAGAATAGAAGAGAATAGAAGAGAATAGAAGATAATAGAAGAGAATATAAGAGAATATAAGAGAATATAAGAGAATAGATGAGAATAGAAGAGAATAGAAGATAAGAATAGAAGATAAGAGTAGAAGATAAGAATAGAAGATAAGAATAGAAGATAAGAATAGAAGATAATAATAGAAGATAAGAATAGAAGAGAATATAACAGAAGTACACCTAACCAAGGTAAAAGACTTAAAAAATTATCTGTCAGAATTATCGTTTGGATGAAATTAGTTACTCTTTGAGATATACTTGACCTTTTTTTCTACCACTTAAACTTCTGTGTTCGGCAGATCTGAGGTATATTAAAAAAAAATCATACGAATTAAACTTAATGAAAATAAATGAAAAATGGATTAGATATTTTGAAAATAGATGAATTAAATGTTTTCAAAATCAAAAGTTGAATTAAAAATGAAAAGCGGCATCTTTCCATAATAAAATTTGTAAAAATTTTTCCTGGACAGGTTCAAAAGTTAAGGGTGTGGCGAACTCTTGTGTGCTCAGTGTAGAAATTTTAACATTTTTACAATTTGTACTGATACTACTGATGCTTTAAATAATACAGTATTTTTTTACTTACAGGTAATGTGGGGTAATGGGGTCCAGAGAGCATATGATGAGGTCCAGGACCAAGTTTAGGTCCATCTTCAGCTTTTTCTTCTTCTCGCCTCTTCAGGCAAGCTGCTTTGGGATTTAAATTCCTCTCTGTAAATAAAACACGAATTTAGTACCTAAATTTTAACTGAATAAAAAATCAGACTATATTATTTATGAAGTAGAAAATTAGAGTGTAACGGTTTTTAAGTAAAAAAAATCAAAATAGATATTAAAAAGATAATTCCCAAAACTAATAACATTCTATTTATTAAATTTTTCATAAAAAAACTCAATTTGTTTTTTGTTACTCTCATATTAATGCAATAGTACCATTTAGTTTTTATTTAAATATATGTATAAGTGCTTTTAAACTTTTTCTTGATGAATATAAAGTAGACAAACTGAAGTAGAATAAAGATACAATGCGTTAACCTTCGACATGCAGACATCTAAAAAAGTAGTTATGTGGTATATATTTTCAAAAATGGCAACAAAAAAGATATTCAGAATAACAGACCTATTAGTATGCTGTCCATTAACAGCTATCCGTAAACTAGAACAAATTCACCGACTAGAACCATGGAAGTTATTCTTAGTCTCACTCCCCTTGATATTTACATCAAGGAGGTTGCTCTGACACAATGACACACCTCCGCACGGTCGGAATAGAACCTGATGTAGGATCTGGTGAGGCGAGACGTCACTTTTGGCAGGAGGCGCTCGATACGTTCCCACTGCTTCAAGCGAACATGGACTCCATCTCACCGAAATATCTTTCATAAGCCATATAAAGTTATAATAGAACAAATAGAATAGCCGGAAGTGGCAGGTGCGATTCATATCTACACCGACGGTTCCAAAAAAAACAAGGCCCAGGATGTGGAATATACTCCAGATTCTTAAACCTAAACATAAAATGGGCTGTGAGCAATAGTGCCAGTGTAGTTCAAACAGAGCTAACAGGGATTCTAATAGCAGCAAAAGAAATAACCAGAAACAATATCACTGGAAGGAACATGCTCATCTATACAGATAGCAGACAAACACTACTCACCCTGAACAGACCACGAATTTATTCAGGGTTAGTACTAGAATGTCACGAATCTTTGGCCGAAGTATCCATCAACAATGTGGTCACCTTAAGATGTATTAAAGGTCACGCAACATCGAAAGGTAATCGTCTTGCTGATTCACTAGCCAAGAAAGCAGCCAACCAAATACTTTTTGGACCTGACCCCTCTATTGGCCTGATTGCATTAAAGCTGGTGGTAAAAATTTTGAACAGATAGGTATTGTGAATTAGTATCGTTTGTGCACCACCGATTACTACTCAATATCCTTTTAAATAAAATAGTTGTTAATAGGTATACCTTTATAATTTAAATTGAGAAGTTAAAACAGATATGTGCTTGTTACATTAATAATATTAATATTTTTTTGTATACATATAAGTAACATAATGTATTTTGTAAATGGTTTAAACCCTGTAACAAATAAATAATAGAACAAACTTAAAAAATTATTTGTTTATTACTTCCCATTGCCCAGGTACAATTCCAGTTTTAAATTTGTTTACTTAAACTGCAATAATTGCCAAATACTGCCATTGTCTTCTGACTATCGTATTGAAAGTTTCAGCTGTAGCTAAATATCTTAAGAGTCAATCTGAAGTAAATAATTTTTAATTTTATTCATATTTTAATGCATAACATTTTTGTCCATAACTTTCTTGCGCCCTGTTCTGGTAGGTTTTTTTTGTAATAGTGGCAATAAATAGTAGGAACCATATTTCAGTTGATTATTCTTTTTGTTAAATACAAACTAGATATAAATAGCTCAGTTTTTAAGGTTATGTTAATAATATCATAATTTTAAAAATTATATTATTGCATTTGACTAAATCTAATTAAAATATCGAATTCTAACATTAGAATATAATAATGTAAAGCACCTCTAATTAATATTATGATTTTGTGTTATAATTTTAACAGTTACCTAACTGAATTTTGTTCTCGTAGTGGCAGACCATAAAAAAAGATCTATTTTGAAATAAAATACCTACGGCACTGGCTCACATCTAGTGATTTTTACTTTTATTTTAACCAATCGCCCGTCATGACGATTTGGTCACGTGGGTTTTCGGTATTGTTGAAGACCCAGTAGTATGTAAATATTTGTATTATTCTAGTATGTAAATATTTGGATAGATACTATATATTTTTCTATTGCATATTATTTTTTTTATACTGGCAATTTCCCGTAAAATAAATAAATAAATTTCAATTAATTTCATTAAGAACACAACTAAACATTTTTATTATTTTTATGTACTGATACTAGGTAAGTAATGTATTAAATATTTTTGGTTCAAATTTACGAAAACATAAAATAATATTATCATTTGAATCCGGAAACAATAAACAGTAATGGAATGTATGAAAAATGCTGTCAATCTCCAAAATACATTTTTTAAATAAAACTAATTTTTCATTGAGCCAAGAAATATGTATTATAAACATTTTGGCATTTTTTGTATGATGAAAGAACTTCTTATTTCAAAGATGTATATGATAACTATGTCAGCATTCTTCACACATTCATGTCATTCCGTGACTGTCTATTACTTCTAAATAATTGAACTATACTACAACATTTATAATTAATAGCTGATGTCAAACATATATCAGATGTATAAATTTCATTACCTGATGGAGCAACAAAAAGTTACTTTTAACCAGGTCAGTACCACAGAAATCAATCAAATTTGTTATTTTGAATTTTTGAGTTATCTTGATAAGTGTGTAATTTTTAATTATTTCAATATGAATGTCATTTATTTCAAATTATGAAGAACAAACTTGTAATACATTTAAACTTTCTTTTATGTTTACACCTGAAAAAATATGACATATCAAGCTAGGTACATTATAAAATTAACTGGAAGCATTGGACATAGACATCCAATGGTAAAGTATTTCTAAAAATTAGTTTCTTTTATCAAGAAAACTTACCCCTAACTTGCTGTTCCAGTGTCATGATGACCTCAACAGCCATATTTAGAATTCCAAGTTTGGTCTGTGGTTTGTCAGTTTTTAAATGTGCCATGCACATCCTACCTAACTCTTTAAGAGCCTCGTTGATATCCCGGATCCTTATTCTAAAAATTAAAAATAAAAAAAAACCTTAAATTTTTTAAACAGGTAAAAAACTTAATCGAAACTATTATTAGATTAATATTAAGAATAATTACATTCTTTAAAATATTTTTAAAATTAATCAATAATAAATTTACTTAGAGGTACATATTTCTGTTTTTATTTAAATCAAGTCACTTTTAAGAATAAATAAAAAAGCATTATAAAAGTATTCAATCTACTAAACTGTAATAAAACTTAATATGAAACACATACAAGAATATAGGCCAAGGAAAGACTTGATAGAAAAATAATAGAAAAGAAATATCCCACCTTTCCCTTGCATTATTAGCCTGTCTCCTTTCTTTTTCCCTTTGGGCCTTAATATCTGGATCTAAGTCACCGTCTTCTGTTTCATCGGCACTGGAACAACTGTTGTGGCAATTTGAGAACTGAGTCTTACTAAATGACCAGTTTTCTGTTTAATAAAATCTTAAAATCATAGCTATGAACAATTTAAGCGTCATTTTAAACAATTTGCAATTCAGTAAGATAAATAACACTATTGAACTTTGTTTATATCTCAACTTCTGAATCTTTTGAATGAAATATAAGTTATTAAGTGAATATATCCCGAAAAAAAATATATAAATTGAATATCCATTCTTAACTAATGAAACAACTATCAATTATATTTTTTTTTTAAATCAGCTATGATTTTAAGTAGATAGTAAAAGGCGAGAAATTACCGATTTAAAAAAATTGCAACCCCAATGACAGAATAGAAAACAGATGACAGATTTTTGAAATGGTGTAATGATAGGCCCATATTCAATGTGTTTACATATTATACAGTTACTAACAAACAAATCAAAACACATAAAATTGCAAAATACTAAACGTTTGCATCAGTAACAAATATTATTTCTACATATTTTATATATCACAAAAAAAAATACAAAATAAATTTAATTTTAAGAATTAAATTATTTTTGCAATTCAATGTATTTCTACTACATGCTGGCCAAAATCCCAAAAACGAATGTTACGACAATTTCAAATATGAATTTCAGAATTAATTTTGACGTAACATTAGTAATCTGAATATGGGCCTTAAGAATTATAAAAAAAAGGACTGGAAAATGAGGTTGAAAAGGTTAAAGTGCCAAATTACAAAACAAACACCAAATGATTAAAATAGTTTTTAAATAAACATCTGGAAATATGTTTGATTTTGAGAAACTAAAATCGAGAGAGCTAGCCCTATATTCCAATTTAAAGGGATTTAAAAGGAAGTCATAGGCGGCGGCTGATTATTTAGGCAGTATGTTGTCTTCAAGTGGTTCTAATACGTGTCAACTAGTATTAATTGATTAAGCCTCTATGGTTTTATTTGTTTGGTGCTAGGCTTATTTTAATTAATAAAAATGAAACTTTTTATATTAAAAGAATGTAATACATTTATAAAAAATTCGTACGTCCATGGTACATCCATACACATTCCAGATCGGATCGGTGCAGGCAACCAGCAGGTAGAAAATTGCTCAACCATATTTATTATAAGTAATAAATAAATGGAATTAGTAATAAAAGTATGTATACCAAGAAAACAAAAAATGTGTATGCAGGCATATTTATACATTATTCTTATGCAATAAATTAAACTTAATATTCGCTAGTTTTTGTAATTGTGAAAGTTTTAAAATGACAGTTGTTTTAAAACTTTATAAAGTTTCAGGTGTTTCAGTTGCCTAGCACCAGATACAGAACTAAAATGCTAAAATGATTATTTAATTTTAAGAAAGTATTAAATAAATTATTTAGTGGCCAAGAGAGAATCTTCAGTTACAAGACAACATAAATTAGAATACATAAATGAATAATACAGTAACACATCAAAAATATACAGGGTGCTCCAGTTTATATCATCAGGATTTCACCAGCTGATAGGGTACTTTATCCAATAAACTATGATCCAAGTTTGCTTCTTTTTCATGTACAGGTTTCAGGTAACCAGAAACGTGCAAACTTTTTAGTTTTAATTTTTTCCTCGAAAACATGGATACGAAAAAAAAAATTGAGACAAAAATATTTTTAAATTTGAGACAAAAATATTTTTAAATTTGAGACAAAAATATTTTTAAATTTGAGACAAAAATATTTTTAGTTAGTTTTTTAGTTAGTTTTTTAGTTAGTTTTTTAGTTAGTTTTTTTTTTTTTTTAATTTTTGTGGCGAATACTAATCGAAGGACAGAGTAAACCTCTTTAATTACTGTCTGGAAGACACCTTATAAAGTTGTCATAAAACTGAAAATATCATTAAAATGGGTTAAATCTTTTTTAGATATTAATAAAAAATTATAAAAAAAACTGTAACTGTACATCAAAAATGATGCAAACTTGAACCATGTTATATGGGACAAACTTACGGTTCGTAGACAATACGGTGGTCTCGTCCGGTTGCTAGGGACGGGGGTGTGACGTCACAGAATGGAAAATCAAAATATTCTGCTGCGGTTCCTACATTAGTTTTTAAAAATATCTTATATTTTATTAATATTTAGTCGTGTTTATATTTTATGTTTTGGACTATTTTCCAGTGTTAGAGTTTTTATACTATTGATAGTTTGATTTTTTGAAATATAAGCAACAAAACAGCAAGAAAAAATCATGTAATGATTTCCATAAAATCTAAAATAAATTAATTTTTATTTGAATTATTGTGTTATTGGTTTATTTTAAACATTTTGGGGCTAGGGTCGGTTATAAGCAGGTAGGGTTATTTTTGGCCCAGGTACGGTCTCCGAGCTGGACTTGGACCACATTTTGTTTATACCCTGAAAAAATTTGAAACTTTAGCATGCCTGAAGGGAGATGTAGTGTTGCTGCTTGCAGTTATACATTTTATAAACAAAAATCACCAGAGGAATGGGACTGAACCAAAATTGATATTAAGGCTAATGGTAAAATATTAGAATAATATTAAATTAATTGCAGTTTTGTCCACCATACATTTAAAAACAAATGAGATGATTTCTTAGGGTGTGTTAGCCCTGGGGCATCTCTCCAGTTCGTGAGTGTTGCACCCTCCGTCCATTTTGACATAATTCCTTTCGCAGTGCTTTTTGCAATGCCCAGGAATGGTTCTGAGGTCCTATGAACACAGATTCGGTTCCTCTTTTGGTAAGTGCGTCGGCTTTTTCGTCGGCTTTTTCGTCGCCTTCCACACCATTGTGTCCCGGAACCCAGATCAAAGTAACTTTGTTCCGAGCACCGAGGAATTCTAGGGTATTTATACAGTTCCAAACCAGCTTTCAGTCAACTAGATTGGAGCTCAGGACCCTAAGGGCTGTCTGGCTATCTGAAAAGATCTTTATAGTCTTGTTTGTAGAGTAACCCTTCTTGTCTTTGTTTATGTTTGGTGCCTCGACCATTTTCTCTCGTTTATATACGTCTTCTCAGCGAGGTAAAGAAAGATAATGCATTGGACTACTGTAGTTTGATACAGAGTTAGGTCATAATATTTTTAATACTATATTCATGTTATATTGTTGTCAAAAAGCATCGTAATGAGTGACTTCTTTTTTCAATTGTATTGAGATATAATATAGTGATTCAAATAGAAGCCGATTTTTTCTTCCATTTGGGATGTCACTTTATAATAATTGACTTATTGTTTAATACTATACGTTATGTTGTATGACGTGTGTGCTACCGCTATCGGCACCGTCGCACCAGAAATAATTTGGAGAGCAAATAGCGTTTAAGGTTTCAAGATGCCTGTAAATATGTAAGCATCGATAGTGCGAGGGTGTGCTAATCTTTGGTATGCACACACTCATTTCAATCTGTACATTTCTTACATCGATTAACATCTACTTAACCATCGCTTATCAATCATCACTCATTGAGACATCTTCGGTATGTACACACCTTTACAATTAAACACAATCAAGAGGGCTTTTGTAAAGTTAAAATCTCCAGCAAGGGACACAAAGAGTATTTCTGAGGTAAAGATAGCATCTTTTACTCAAATAACTTATCGTAATTGCTTTAGAAATTTCTTCTGAATTCTCTTCAAAATGATTTATAACTTATTTTTACTAAAAACTTCCTGTAGTAAACCTGTTTTTCAATAATGTATGTTCTTTTAGTAAAACTCATTGTTTTTTTTTGTTCTTGTATTTAATGTTTGTAAGAAATCATCTCATCTGCTTTTAAATGTAGGGTGGACGAAGCTGCAACTAATTTAATAATAGTGAATGATAATTGCAGAATAATACTCCAAAATCTAATCATTAGCCTTTAATTTTTTGTTTGTCTGAATTGTTTACCAACAGCAACACTATACAGCTCGCTCTAGGCGTGCTAAAATTTCAAAATATTTTAGGGTATAAACAAAGTGTGGTCCGAGTTCGGATCGGAGGATGTGCCCTAACCCAAAATGTTTAAAATAAACCAATTACACAATAATATTTCTTTCAGTAATTCAAATAAAAAGTAATTAATTTGAAATTTTATGGAAATCATTACATGATTTTCCCTTGCTGTTTTGTAGCTTATCTTTTAAAAAATCAAACTACTGATATCATAAAAATTCTAACACTAGAACATAGTTCATAAATTAAAACATGAACACTAGTAAATAACAATAAAATATTAGATGTTTTTAAAAAACTAATGTACGAATCCAAGTAGAAGATTTTCTGTCAACTCACTTTTTCATTCCGTGACGTCACTCCATCCTTAGCAACCAGAATGAGACCACCGTTTCAGTCTATGAATCGTGAGACAAACTACATTTATTTTTTGATAAACTATCTGCTGGTAAAATAATGACGATATAAACTGGACCATCCTGTACATTCAATACCATACAATGCGCTGGTTCAGTGATGATGTATTTATGGTTCCACTGAGAATTAAAGTGACAGTAGATTTTTTGAGTGCGTTTTGTTCGTTTTGTTTACCTAAATTATACCGTTTCTTCACTTTTATAAATATATTCCTAAAGTAAGTAGATAACATGCATCAAATATTAAATCGTTTAGTTACCAATTACATACCTTTAAACTATTTTTTATGACCTGTAAACAATATTTAGAAATAAACTAAAAACAGTAAAAACGTATAAGTCAAATTTATTGATGTTTATGTTAAAAGTTTGGTTAGAATTAAATGTCAGTGGAACCAAAATGACATCACACTGAACTAGCGCATTAAGCAAAATTATTTTACAAATATAGGATACAAATAAAATATATATAAGAAGATCACAACATTAAGTTTGTTTTTAAAATAGAGATAAGAAAAAATATATTGGTAAAAGAAGAAGAAATCTTAAATATAATTATGTTCATATTAAAGCAACAAATAGAATTTAGAAAAATCCTAAATAAATCAAAATTAAGAGTTATGATGAAAATGTTGAT